ACTGCCTGGTAAATTTTTGATGATGGTATGAAACCGCTGATGTTTGCTTTGCAGGTCGATACTAAACTGTTGTAAGTACCTTGTTCCACAACTGATTTCTCTAATATATTCTGTACCAATTCATCCTCATCGGGCACTTCTAATGTCTTCCTATTTGTGGTTTCTATTAAATCATGACTTTTGTGGCTTACTTTAAAAAGCATTTCTTCTTTTATATTCTCTAAATCATTGTCATTTATATCATTAAACTTTGGATTACTGACACTTGATTTTTTTCTTCTCGAATGAGCTACCATGCAATACTCAGACTTATTTTCTCCATTCTGTATTTCCTCACTGTAGGAAAACTGTCCTATTGTCTTCTCCTGAACCTCCTTCTCAGATACCAAGGTGACACTTTCAACTACTGCTTTCTTTTGTCTAACACGCCTTGGCCCAGGGGTGGGAGGCCTATAAAAGCGAGGCCTGGTATTATCCTCAGGTACATCGCTTCCATCTAGACCTGCAGAATTGTTCTTCTTATAGGTATTACAACCAGAATTTTTTAAATCAGGCTCTGATTCTTTGTCTGACACTTCTGCATTGAATTGCTGTAATGAGTCTCCGTCTTCTTTATTGTAGCTCTCCAAAAATGGAGCATCTTTTGGTTTTATATGTTCTGATACATTTACATCTGATAAGCAGTCCTCTGCACACATTGCAGAATTGCAGATGGTGGTATTTTTGTCATCAGAAAGGCCAGCACGACTTACAGTGGTTGTCCATTTAATGGTTTCTTCCTCTTTAATTTTGAACCGAACTTTCATTTCCACTGTGATACTGCCATCTTGATTAAGATGAACAGATTTCTCAATGTCATCTTCATACTGTGCCACAGATAAGTCTTCCCCAGTAACTATCTGATTTCCTCCTATACCATTATGACCCTCAAGAACATAGGAAGAATCTGAGTTGTTATCATTTGAGTTGTTATCATTTGAGTTGTTATCATTGCTGGACCCTTTATCAGAAGAAACTGAGAATATCTGAGATCTTGAGCTAGAGCCCATTTCAGCTCTCGCTACCAATAATTACATTGCAAGAACCCAAATTCATTCAGTAGGTGGAAAGTAGAGCACGTAATTATCATGTGTAAGGATCCAGATGGTGAGACAGCAGACAGGCAGCAAAGGAAAAGAAAAAGGAGAAAAATTAGTACAAAGGAAACTAATTTAGTTTGTTTATTTTAACAGTGTTAGCAAATAAAGAGAAAAAACATGGCTAACATTGCTATTCATTTTAAGACGTTGTTAGAGACAGAAATATAACCAATTTTTAAGAAAGACTCAAGCATCTAACTACTTTTCCACTTTATATCATTTTGCAATAGGTTCTTTCTAATGGCAGAGCTATGGACTTATTTGAAGGTCCAAAGCCTAAAAAAGTACTAAATATTCTCATTTTATACTTAGTTGGGAGCTGATGCTGTCTTGAAGCTTTCAATAGATTCACGGGCTTTCACTTGTCTGGGCTTCAAGCTACCAACTTCGCATCTTCTTCATGCCTTAGTGGTCATCAATATAACATTAGAGCACAAGTCTTACGAGGAGTGGCTGAGGGAACTGGGGTTGCTTAGTCTGGAGAAAAGGAGGCTCAGGGCAGACCTTATCACTCTCTACAACTACCTGAAAGGAGGTTGTAGAGAGGTGGGGGTCGATCTCTTCTCACTAGTAACAAGCGATAGGACAAGAGGAAATGGCTTCAAGTTATGCCAGGGGAGGTTTAGATTGGATATTAGGAAATTTTTTTCACTGAAAGCGTTATCAAACATTGGATCAGGCTGCCCAAGGAAGCGGTGGAATTGCCATCCCTGGAGGTATTTAAAAGACGGGTAGATATGGTGCTTAGGGCCATGGTTTAGTGGTGGTTTTGGCAGTGTTAGGTTGATGGTTGGACCCGATGATCTTAAAGGTCCCTTCTGACCTAGAGGATTCTATGATTCTATGATTTTCTACTAGTCCTTACAGTTAGTGCTAAAATGTGTCAGTCAAGGTGAACATATATCTCCCTGGGCTTAATCCAACAATCTGCAGCATATGAGTAATTACTGTGAGTAGTGTCACTGACACACAAGAATAAAGGGTACAGATTCAGTCCCCTTGACTGACCTTCTATATAAAATAGAAAAATTATAAAATCTGAATTTAAATCACAACACTTTGAGATACATTTTATGCTACAGTACTGTAGACGATGGTGAAAAAGTCAGTAAAGCCAATGAGAATACTTCCAGATTTCAATGAATTTTGAGTACGGCCCAACATGTGTTTGTGTACACATTAAATATTCCCAAAATATGTTTTGATTACTCTGTAGTAACTTGAGGGTTAAAAAAATTATACATCATCTCTCTCTAGTAGTTGTCACTGAAGAGGTGAGAGATAGAAGAACACGAGATAAAAATAAAGTTTTGCTGTCTTCCAAGAAGTTCTGCATGTGCAAGTGAAACAGTGCGTGTACACCCACACAAAGACATCCTCAGCTGTTACTGATACCTAAATATATAGGAGCCACCATTTAACAGAAAGGTTTCACTTGCAGAAAGGTATTTAACACGTGATAGTAACTCATCTACACTGCTTGAATTTAAGTTGGTTTTTTTTTGCTCAAGTGAGTCACAAATGGTCTCATATCAAGACTTTCACAGTTAACATATTACCACTATAGATACATGTCTCTAATTTCAAGGCAGAGTGCCTTGCAAGTTTCCCATGCATATGCTTTCCCATGAACTGAATCAAAAGTAAAAGTTTGTACTAATGCCTCTAACACAGACCATACTTTATATTTCCCAAAGTAAAAATCTCACCTTTTCTACCTTCACGAAATGTAATTGGAATGAAGTGCCTGAAATTTTGTTTTTCAGGCTCTCACATCAATAGTGTCTCCTACACAGGGTACTTTTGAATTTCTCAGGTTAGAGACAAAAAGAGGTTGTTTTTTCCTCTCTTTTTCTGTAGTTGCTGTTAACTAAGGATTAGAAGAAGGAGCTTATCAGGTTCTCATCTACTTACATTTTCTACCATTGCAAGGCTTATTCTCTGGCTCAAAGCAAAATTTGGGTAGGATATTTTGTTTCCGCAGAACTTTCATTCTCAAAATATTCCTGTTCATTCTCTCACGAGCATCAGTTTTGCTCTACAAACAGCTCTCAAGCTGTGCAGGTCAAAGAACATGAAGGCTGAGAAAAACTAAAATGAATAGTTTAGTGGGGGCATAATAAGCTGGGAGGGATGTGGAAGAAAATCCTTCAAGTAAATGGAAGCTGATTGTCTTATGTATTAGTGTGCTCCATGGCACAGTCAAGATTACCACGGAAAGTCTCAGTACACAAGCAAGTACCATGTTTCCTGGGCTGTCCAGGACAGCATGCAACTATATCAAGAGCACAAGGTACCTCTGGACTAAACAAGTTTCCCCCTAGACAGTACCTCTGCCTTACAGGATGTTCTAATGCCAAGGATTTCCACACGACCTAAAGCTCTGCTACTGCAGCATTTTGTTCCCCTCAACCTGAGGCTATTCAGCTAACCTGGCTTCTCTCCAGCAGCTCCTCGTCTTCTTGATCATTCACTGACCACCTCACACTCTTGCTGACCTTGTCTGGCACAACTACATGAGCAGTCAAAGGGAAAGTACATATTTGCTTATCTTTTCCCAAACATAACCAAAAAAACATTTATCACAGCCATGAGGAGATAGGAAAGGATGACACTCTGTTTAGACAAAAGCAGCTTCAAAAACATGATGAGCTTGTGAGTGGATGGGTGCTATAATGTTTTTCCTGTCTATGTGGAGCATAAACACTTGTCATGTGTCATGACAATGACAATTGAAGCCACCACTTGCTAAGGTAAGTTCTGAAACCTGCACAAAAGTTTTGCTCAAGAAATTCAGTGAGTTAAGAGCCTGAATTAACACTTGGGTTTTCTTTTAACACTGCTGTTATTAACTGTGACACAAAAAAAATTAATAACAATGACAACCAAGTGCATTAAAATAAAATATACTTATAGACTTGCATCCATGTTCTAAATAAGTCCATTTGAAAGAAAATATGCATAGTACCTGAGTATTAAGCAGAAACTTACATTTTAGAAAGAGCATTAACACTTTGATCTTACTTATAAGGGATAAATATGTATTCTTTTATATATATTATATATTAATATCTATTCTTATAAAGGATAAAGGAGTCAGAGCAGATATAAACAGTTTCAACCAGCCTTTTTGAATATCCTTGATCCTAGTAAGATTGTCAGGGTTTATGTCTTATGTTCAGAGAGATAAACCAATTAATAAAATAAAAATTAATTCAAAGAACTTACTATTTTCACTTTCTGACTTGGCATGTGCTTTTGGGTACACACGATTTGCAATTCCAAGCAATTTAGCAGGCTGTGAATACCCAAGAGAATTATAATTGCTTGGTTTAAAAGGCTCTCTCCCCGCTGCGACTACAGCTCCAGAGCACAATATCAGGGCCTGAAGACTAGGAACCTGGAAAAAAAAAGTAACATTAAATTCTCTGCCTTAGTAACCACAAAAATAATGTAAGAGATTTATCCTTTTCATGCTTTAGTATCTTCACTTCTTAGTCTCTACATTAGTTTGCAGCATGCTACTTAATATGTATCACAGCATGGAATTAATTTTTCAATTCCTATAAGGCAATTCTTATCTCTGTGAGGGTATGTATTGTTATATAAAAATATTAGAAAAAGACTTCAAGAAGCAACACTTGGATCCAGATCGAATTTCTCATATAATTTAAGTGTTTGCATATGTAATTTTGTTTCATTGTTGCACAGTGACTATTCATAGCCATGAAATAAGAATGTGCATTTGGAGGTAAGTATGCGTATGAATACGTGTTTGGAGGAAGAAAGGAGAAATTCAGAATACACCACAAGTACTTGGCCTGTGCTGTCTCTGAGGAATAGGACAGAATCACAGAACAATATAAGTTGGAAAAGACCTCTGGATGTCAGGTAGTCTAACCCTCTGCTCAAAGCAGGTCTGACTGGATCAAGGTACTCAGAGCCCTGTCTAACATTTTTGGATTTATGTTCAAAAATATGTTGCAAGATAAGGCTTACAAACTGCACTTCGCTGACTTATAAGTGTTATGGACAGTTTCCCAACCTAATACAGAATTTCATCAAATGGAGGGTAACCACAAGATTTCTCTTGAACTCTTGAACCTCTGCATGGAATTGTTTTTCTAGATACCTGTTAAGTATAATCACAAGTCCTTTTTTCTGTGGTTAAGCAATACATAGAGTGGTTAAACAACACTGAGAGAGATAAAATTATATGAAACAGCATGTGAGATGAAAATCAGGAATATTAGTGCTGCATCAACTGGGTTTAGAGGTATGGAATCTGATCCATGGTACGGATCAGTTCCATAGTCATTAGTCATAGTCCCAAGTCATTAATGGCAAAACACTCTGCATTTGTGTAATGATAAATTATGTGTTGCTATTAGATGCTACTTATCGTATTTTCAAAAAATTAAAAATCACAGATAAACAGCATTAAGACTAAGGGAAGTTTCTGTGTAAATTGGTAAAAATACAGAATTCAGATCATGCCTGAAAGAGGCCTGAGTAAGAAAAAGTGTTTTTTCATGATGGCTTAAGATAAAATGTCCTCACTTGCTTCTCTCTGATCACAAGATTCCAGTATATCTTCTCCAAGCTAATAGCCTTTATGAAGGGGAAAAGGCATAGAAAGGCAACAGCTGAAATTCAGCACTTCAGATCTTAGACCAGGACAGTGTTCTAAGCTTATAATTGATAAAATCACCTTTTCAATTCAAAATAATCTAGAAGAAATCATAGAAAAAAATTCAGTACTCATCTTTATTCTCACCTTTCTGCCATCAGTGGTATATAGTTTCACGACCGGATATTGCATTAACTCACTCATATAATCCAGAAAGGCCTCAAAGGTTTGTGTGTTTTTCTTTCCCAGAACTACGGTGCGTCGAAGTCTTACATCTCCGTTTTTGAAAACAAGCATCTTTTTGGGAGTTGTTATTTTGCTTTCTCGATGGCCAAATCCATCTTCATTCTCCCTTGCTAATTGCACAGCTCGACGGCGAGCGCTAACAGGTCTGCTGATCTGCCAGGGCAGCGGCTTTCTGCTAGCCCGTTCCAGGTTGATGGGCTTCATTTTCCTCTGATGGGAGCAAATATAAGATTTTCCATCTTCAAGATCCTCCAGATTGGTGATGCTGTGTCTCCCTTTTGGTGTACTAATATTCCTTACTCCAAAAGGTAACGGGACCCGTTTGGACAAACTATCCAGCAAGGCGTCAAATGTTTTATAAGACCGGTTGTTAATGACCATTTTGATCCCATTAAACTGAGGATCTCCACTTTTATAGAAACAGATCCGTTTTGCCACGACAGGTTCAGTAACATTGAAGTGGCGCGTGGATAAACTCTGTTCACTCTCGGAGGAGTTTGGGTGATTCACAGAGTAACTAGTTGAAGGCGTTTCACTCATTTTGACAGCAATCTGGAAGAAAGAGGAAATGGATGTAAAATTAAATTAAATGTAAATTAATTTCTTGGACAATGTCACCTTGATGTAGCTGCCATATTGACTAATGGAGCAATCTCTTCTGGCTATTACATATTTTTCTTAATGAAGATATGGAAAACAATATTTTGACGGATTTTACTACTACATACATCAGTTCTGAAACCCATAAGAAAATGTTACTGTTTTTCAAGACAGTCAAGGTTCAAATAAAGTCAGATTTGACAAGATTTTATCGTAGTGTGTTCTTACAGCTTTTTCAAAAATGCACTGTTTTCAGCTTGGGTGTTTTGCCTTCACTGAGATTAAGAACTTTTAAAAAGTTTGTTATTTTGAACAATGATCATAGCACAGGAAGAAATGTCTCATTTTAATACAATATTCATGCTGTAAATTGTACTTATTCTAAGTGCTAAAACTGAAAAATAACCAAACAAGTCTGCACTAGAATGACGTACACAAAGATTGATTTAGGTAATTACAATTCCATTTAGAATAAAAAAAATATTAAAAATAATAATTAAAAAAAACTGTATGTGTTTAATTAAAGAATATGCAGGAAGAAATTTTCAAGCTTGGCTGCAGCAACTTATACAACCCAGTCCATGATAGCTAGAGAAATGGCTTCCTTTCTGTGGTAGGGAGGAGCTCCACTTCTACTGAAATCACTGAGAGCTATAGTTGCTCCTCTTTTTTGACATATCTATTCATTAGCTGCCTGATTTTCATTACACTTCTAAACAGAGAGGTTGACAGGTGAGTTAAGACTAGGGACACAATTTGAACCAGCCATTTTGTGCCTCATGCATCATTCTGTTTATACTGATGTTCCTAGAGGAAATCCGTAAGGGCATTTTTACTGCTAGCTGCAACACAAACTTTCCTACTCTCTTTGCAGAGCAAATGTTCCACTCCAATGAAAGCAGCAATGACACTAATAAAGTTCTTGAGTGAACTGAATGTCATGTTACCCCACTTAACTGGCCAAGAAACCTTGAGCTCACTAACAAAGTCCACTCCAGGATCTTTGGGGAAGGGGAGAAAACTGTTAAGTCATCATCAATAACGGTCAGAGACAGAACGAACAGACATAGTTCCTCAGCTACTTTGTACTACGACTTCTCACCCTTTATGAAAATGGAGGGGAATTTCATCTAACTGTATGATTATTCACTCTTACAAGAGATAAAATAGTTAAATTTTCTCATGAGACTACCGATAATAATAGTTTCTGAATTAGCCTCTCAGAAGTTGTTCTGGATATTTGTACTTGAGTAAAACGTTCAGTTATGCAAGCATCAACATTTGGAAAAGAAATACAATGTATTTTACATAAAGGCAATTATTAGACTGAATCTTGAGACTGTGGAAGTAACAAAACCCAAAACAAACAAAGAGAATATACATATAAAGAAAAAAGGCAGTTTTCATTATAAACATGAAATAATTTGAACTCACAAAAGTAACTACAAAAAAGAAGTTTTCCATAGCAAAACGGAAAATGAATGATAAAAAAGATAGTTTTGGCAGAGAACTGATGCTTGCATAGTACACCATGTATTACTTTCTAGTATTAATTTTAATAGTGGAAATTACTTATGCATCTTTCAGATACCTTATAATTGCATTTTACAAATAGCAAACATTTCAACAAATGAGTAATCAACATATCAAAGTTACTAAATTTTATACAGACCCTAAGTGGAACACTTTGTTCTAAATATAGAAGAATACATCTAATGCCATATAGCTGGTAAGTATTGCATATAATTTCATGATACTCACCCACAGTCACATCCTATGTAAATAAAAGAGTAGTTAGCTTGTTTTCAGAGATTTATAAATTGTACATGTATTTGTCTGTGCCACATGAAATGAACATCCTTAGTCTTATTCCAAGTGCAGTCAGCTAGAAAAAAACATCATAATCCATTTGCTTAATCTCAGCTAATGTTAATCACCAGACCAGGTTCACCTCAGGTAGCTGTTGTTCAGAGCAGTGTGTAACATCTCATTCAGCAAGTCCTCTTATACTATTTTTAAACCCTATTTACCTTTTAAATATTTCATTTATACAATTTTCTGTTTACTTAGATTGCTCAAGAGACTCACAGAACCACATAAAATAAAAATGTGGGTGGGGAACATAGGTCATCTAATCTATTTTCTTATCAGTGTAGGGTTATCGTCCAAACTAAATTCTTTAGCTGATACAAATTTTAAATATGTTAAAATGGACCTTCCACCACTCACCTTGTGAGACTATTTATTAACTGTCTCATGGCATTAATTCTTGCTTTCGTGCAATCATTTGGTCAAGATGATCCTCTTTGTGCTAAAGATTCTCCCATATTTTCTCTATTCAGTTATCACAATGAAAATAGTTCCACAGTTTCTTTCACAACATTCAATAAAATATGACAGTCTGAAGGAGTTTTGTCATCTATGAGGCATTCTTCATTTCAACATATTGGAAAAAGGGCATTGCAACAACTATAAATGTGTATGAATATAGTTTATGAAGAGACAGGAGGATTACGTCTAACTGTTTAATTATACCACAGAATGTGGGGTTTTTTTCTTTTTCCAGTAGAAATACTATGTCCCCGGATGGTAACTGTTCCACCTAATTGCTACCAGATGTACAATCTGATTTGGAGCTTCTTTGCTTAATCAGGATTACAGCAAGCTCTCAAAACTAGCTGTGTAGAACAGCAACAAAAACACTGCTCATTAGACAGTACCACTGCATGCCATAATAAGTTTTTAACTATTTTCCTTAGGAGAAAATTCAATGTTTACAGAAGTTTTAAAATACTGCTTCAGTTCCATTTTTATAGGGTGGACATGGAACTGTATTAAACATTAAATTATAATCTTGCACAGATATTTTACTATACACATTGCTTTCTTAAATATTGCATTAATAAAATTATTTAGGTCCTTAATCTATTTTAGCTATTGTATTGCTTATATTCCAGTCAGTATTCTGTGGTTTACACTTGTTCAGAAGATGAACAAATGCAAATTCTGTCTTATTTTGTTGTCTTGGACAAGGGAAGATCAACAGATGTCATCTACCTCAACTTGTGCAAAGCGTTTGACACTGTCCCACACGATATCCTGGTCTCTAAACTGAAGAGATGTGGATTTGACAAATGGACCACTCAGTGGATAAAGAACTGGCTGGGCAGCTGCACTCAAAGAGTTGTGGTCAGCGGCTCGATGTCCAAGTGGAGAGAAGTGACGAGTGGCGTTCCTCAAGGGTCGGTACTGGGACCTGTACCGTTCAACATCTTTGTTGGTGACATGGACTGTGGGGTCAAGTGCACCCTCAGCAAGTTTGCCGATGATACCAAGCTGTTTGGCGAGGTAGATATGCTGGAGGGGAGGGATGCCATCCGGAGGGACCTGGACAGGCTGAAGAGGTGGGCCCAAGCCAACCTCATTAAGTTCAACAAGACTAAGTGCAAGGTCCTACATCTGGGTCGGGGCAATCCCAAGCACAAATACAGGCTCGATGGGTAATGGCTGGAGAGCAGCCCTGAGAAGGACCTGGGTGTGCTGATTGACCAGAGGTGATTCTGCCCCTCTGCTCCACTCTTGTGAGACCCCACCTGGAGTACTGCATCCAGCTCTGGAGTCCTCAACATAAGAAAAACATGGACCTGCTGGAGCGAGTCCAGAGGAGAGGCACGAGAAGAGTTGGGGCTGTTCAGCCTGGAGAAGAGAAGGCTCCAGGGAGATCTTATTGCGGCCTTCCAGTACCTAAAGGGGGACTACAGGAGAGCTGGGGAAGGACTTTTTACAAGGGCATGTAGTGATAGGACGAGGGGGAATGGCTTTAAACTGGAAGAGGGCAGATTTAGATTAAACATTAGGAAGAAATTTTTCATTCTGAGGGTGATGAGGCACTGGAACAGGTTGCCCAGAGAGGTTGTTGAGGCCCCATCCCTGGAGGTGTTCAAGGCCAGGCTGGACGTGGCCTTGGGCAACCTAGTCTAGTGGGAGGTGTCCCTTCCTATGGCAGGGGGGGTAGAACTCAATGATCTTCAAGGTCCTTTCCAACCTAAACCATTCTATGATTCTATGATTCTATACATGAATTTTATAGAGTTGGTTTTCTTTTAAGTGCAGGATTTAAAATATCATTGCTACTCTCATTAGCCTGCCAGTGTGTGCAAAGTCACCTTCGATAACCAGCTAATGCATCAGTATCTTCTGTGTACCACTAGAATTTGGGACCCAAGAGTGAATACTTCTGGGACCTGCTGAAGACGATAAACAAGTGTCACCATTTGACGGTGTGAATGCCCCTTAATTCTCTAAGACTTCAAAAGGCCTACAAAGCTTTTGTCCAGACATACGTAACTTAAACTGCATTCCTTCTTGTACTACAAACACTGCATATATTCTGAAAAGATAGAAGAAATCACCAATGTTATAGTAAAAATAGCATCAATAAGAATGATGTTTAATTTGGACTTAAAGTTAACAAGGCACAAAAAATTATCACAATCCTATGGCAATCAATATCAACACAAAAACTCTTTTCATCCATTTGCACGGGCAGCTTGACTGCCATCCATGAAGCTACTAAAATGATGCGATAAGAATTTAGCCTTAATATTTGGAGAACAGTTGTTCTTTTTATATAAACCATTTGCAAAGAAATATTGGGGAATATAAAATTAGCCCAGAAAATTTAAGAAGGCAAAATTAGGCCACATGAGAAAAATGTATCCGTGATTAAAATTGTAATTGCAAGCAGCATTACAATTTCCTAGGTTGCTGTCATTCTCACTTTTAAATTACATGCCTGGTTATCCCCAGAACATCTTCGGTTCTCAGTTCTGATACTAAACATTACATTTAACCTGTACTCGATATCCCTCTTGGTCCTATTTTTTTGTACTGGTCAGTAACTGAAATTATAACCATATCACTGCGAGGCAGTCGCTAACCACTTACTGTCTGACATTGAAAAGAAGAGAAAAGCTCACGTTTGGGTCTTTGTGAACACAGTGACAGACGAGTACAAAGGATCTACTCTAGTGACCACTGGCATCAGTAGCAGTTTTCTTCTCAATTCCAAAGGCCGTCCTCTGGGACTGGACAGCCAGTTGAAGGTCTAGTGGCTGCAGTTAGCCTGCAATACCACTCTATACAGCAAAAGGTAAGCACCCTAAGCAAATACTTGGGCTGAGTCAAAGCTCAAGTGGAAGTTTTCAAAATCAACAGAAAGTTTCTAACCCACTCCAAAATTATTTATGCCAGCCCAGAAAAGCACAGCATTAAAATAATTGTAAAAATCATTATTTTTTCTGGTTTTGATTTATTACTCCTCCTTTTCTATGGACTTCGCTTTAGTAACTGAACTGATTGAATGCTACAAGTACCTAAATATAACTCAACACTTTCCACCTCATTCTATAAGTCTTCAGTGTTTCTCACAATCAGCATCACATCCAGGAAACTGATGCCCAAGAAAGAAAAAAATATGTTAGCAATTACGTTATCACGTTTGCTGATAAATTCTTTTTTCCTTACCAGATAACCAGCATCCCAGGTTGAGAACCATAAGCAGCCTTTTCTGCAGCATTATCCTGAGTGAGAGCAGGGTCAGAACCATGTGTGATGTGGCCCTCCCTGCCTGGCAATCCTGTGGCCCTTGAATGACACCCTTTGTTTAAGTCAGAGCCATATGGAATAGCAGTTAACATGAGTATTTTCATCATTTAAGTGTGAGTCACTTCTTTAAAACGGGCAGTTGCTACACCAGTTAAACTATTACTGTTGACCTCATGCCCCAGGAAAATGCTGATAATGTGCCTTTCCAAGTCCCCTCAACCTCTAATACCTCTGCTTTTTTTTTTTTTTTTTTAATTGGACTGCTCAGTAAGGTATGGAACTAGGAAACTGTTATCAAACTGAAAAGGAAATTATCACATTAGAAGCAGGGGCCTGGGTCAAGTTCCCTTCAGTGTGCCCAGCCTGTTTACATCCTTTCCAGTAAAGCCTTCCAAAAAATGTGCGACTATTAATATGTTACTACTGATAAGATTTTGAGCCATTGCATTGCAACAGCATTTTAGTGTTTGATATACATGAACTTCTTATCAAGTTAATCCCCACAGACTTTGATTCATTAAATTCTCCAACATAGATTTGATAACCAACAGCTGGGGATGCAGAATGTGAAAAAAAAAGAAAAAGTATGCCTCTGGGGAGGAAAACAAAACAAATCAAAACCAGAGCCCTGCATTTAAGAGAGCTCTGCCTGGATGGTAAGGTGGACTGCCATTTGTAGTCTGAAAATTC